ACTGTTGCTCCTAAGTACTTTAGAGAGATCCCTAACAGCAGACTTTCCCATCGCAATACGTTTTTTGATTTCCTGGCTGCTGGTGCCAAGAGTGTTGACCATGGAGCCAAGCAAACTGAAGCTGTGAACAATCTCAATCTCTTCGCCATCCATCCTGGTACAAAAGTAATATTTGATTTGGAATCTCTCTTCTTTCTCCTTCCATAAATTCCTGGTGAAATGAAAACAGGCAAACCAGAAAACATCTAATGAGGAAGCAAAGGCCTAACTAGAATATCAGGCAGCCGAACCTCTTACCCACCCAACCCCTGCCACAGGTCACCTTTTCCTGCATGCTATTCTTTGCTTGACTTTTCCCAGTAGCCATCTTAGCCAACTTTCTAGCTCTGAAATGGTTTCCTAGAAGGAGAGTTACAGAAACATCTTTTCACCTGATTGGCTCTTGTGTCCAGACATGCTTCGTTAGGAAGACAGGTGATCTTTCTTGAAGTTGCCATGCTACACATCAGGCTCAAAGTGAGATGGGACAGTGAATGGGAAATGGCCGTTGCAGAGGCATGCAAGGTCTGGAATACCATTAATCAGAAGAGGCTGCATTCTTTTTGGTGTTTGCCCAGTTGGCTTGCTTCATACTTTGCCTGAGAGCAGGCCACCTACCTACAGCTTCCAAATGGGTGAGAGTGTATTTATTCTTAGCCTCCAACTCACAGCAAATTAACTCCAAACCCACAGCAACTTCATATGCAAAAGATTTAAACTGCCTACTTCTGTCCCATCCTCACATTAAGCCTGTTGTTACATTTAGGATGTCACTCATCTTGCTGAGGACATTCCTTTCCTCCTCTGACCCTCCACATTTCTAAGTTTGTCTCCTTTCAAGGATTGCCTCTTCCTGAATAACATTCCTGAAGTGTGTGAGACAAAGTTTCATCATTCTTGCCTTGAAGGAGACCCTGACTGCACTTTTCCAAGACACATTTGTTTGTTCTTTTGGAAGTCCATGGGTATATTCAGTACTCTTCACCAACACAACAATTCAAATACATAATTTCTTTTGTGTTCCTTATTTTTTGCCCAACTTTCACAATGGCTTTTAAATTCTCTTCTGTCTTACAGGATTGCTATATGTTGGAATTGGTGCAATGATAGTAGGTTGGATTTAGTGTTATTTTGAATGTAAGATTTTTCAGATTATGACATGAAATGATTTTTTTAGAGGCCATCGAGTCGATTCTGACTCATAGAGACCCTAATTACAACAGAAGGTGTCTCAGTTATTTTATGAGCTCTGGTGTCCTAGTGGATAGCAAGTTTCACTGCCAACCAGTAGGCAGGTGCTTTGACTCTACCAAGTTCTCTACAGGTGAAAGATGGATAATTGCCTCCTGTGTGATTTATAGCCTCTAAAAACCCCATGGACAGTACTGGGGACATTAAGTGGAAGAACACATATCCCCTTGCTCCCAGTCAGATGAATTTTAGTCCTTTATTAAAATCCATTTAATATGAAGAATGATGATGGCATGTCCAGAGTTGTCGCTTCCTATTCAAGCTAGGCAGTCAGTCATGCGTGAGTGGATATTTTAAGCTGGCTGGAGGAGAGGGGAAGGCTCCAGGATTCACACTTAGTTTTCATGTCCTTACTGCCTATTCTGTATTAATTTGGTGTCTGCTGTGTTGCATTTGTGGGTCAGGATGTGGCTTCCTCTAAAAAACACCTGGTAATTTGGGACCATGGATTTATTCACACACACACACAGTCGAAAAAGCCCATGAAGATTTAATTATTTGTATATTCTCAGCCCAAAGTGCAGAATATATTTGTTACCTGCACAGCATTTCTATAATTTGGACTTGTCTATATTTTGTTACCTGGATTTGAGAATTAAAACAATTGTTCCCATCCGAAAGAAGGGTGACCCAACAGAGTGTGGAAACTATAGAACGATATCATTAATTTCACGCGCAAGCAAGATTTTACTGAAGATTATCTAAAAACGACTGGAACAACATATCAGCAGAGAACTGCCAGGAGTCCAGGCTGGGTTCAGAAGGGGTCGTGGTACTAGGGGTATTGTAGCTAATGTTAGATGGATCTTGGCTAAAAGCAGGGAATACCAGAGGAAAGTCTGTGTTTCATTGACTATGCAAAGGCTTTTGACTGTGTGGATCATAACAAATTGTGGCTGACTCTGAGAAGAATGGGAATCCCAGAACACTTGATCGTGCTAATGAGAAACCTATACTTGGACCAAGAGGCAATCATCAGAACAGAGC